TTTCTCATACTCATCTTCTTCCAGGTGCTGTCATATACCTGATCCGACCGCTCCAATATCAATATCCACCCGCTTTCCGACAACCTCCGCTCCATCTATTCCTCCGCTCTATCCAATCATCGACCACATCCGCCCCTATGCTTCCGCTCGACCGCCCAACCAGTCCCCTTCCATAATGCCTCCATTCAACTGGATCTGCTTTCCCCCTTTAGATATATACTTCCCCCTTTGGTACATAGACCCTTACTTCCGGATCACCAGTAATTCCTATTACCGCTCAATCACTGATCCAATGCGTACATATCGATATCTGCTCCGACTAATGTCTTCGCCTGTGTAAATACTTACAAACTATATCCTTGGTACATAGCTTTACTACATAGTTATCCTGATCACTGCCTCATACCTAGAAGTATATAACATATCCTGTACTTAGATATTTTCCTCAGTCTTAATATTACTAGTCTTCTCACAGTTACCTCTTGTGAGAATTCTCAGTGGGACCTTGCCTCCTCTGGACACAAGTTTCATATTGTTGTCACCTCCGATCCTCCGCTCCGACTTGAAGCCGTGCTCTAAGTCTTCTCCTTACTTCCCCACCCCTATCAAGTATTCCCCCTGCTCCTTTCCACCTTCCGCATTATCCTCCGCCTCCTCCGCTCTGCTCCTAGTTAGCCTGCCACTGGTAGCACTTACCTCCCGACCCTCAAATCGGACCTAAGCGGTCTACTCATCCTATCATCGGACAACGTCGGATCCACTCCAAATTTGGGGCACGTACTCGGCTAAGGGCGCAGCACAAGAGCTGAAGCCAAGCCTCAACCCCTCCACTTCTTGAGCCGGCACTGGTACCTAACACAAACCCTATTCCTGTTCTGTTAGAGACTGTGCTCAGACGGAGAAGTGGAGGGGTCGGGGCTTGGCTTCAGCTCTTGCGCTGCACCCTTAGCCGAGTATGTGCCCTGAATTTGGAGCAGGTCCGATGATGTCTGACTGATAGAACGGGCAGACCGCTTTGGTCCACTTTGTGGGTCGGGAGGTAAATGCTACTAGTGGTGATCTGACTAGAAGTGGAGCGGGGGAGGCGGAGGAAGTGTGTTGGGATGGAGGGGAGTAAGGGGATTGATTGATGGGGTTGGAGAGGTAAGAGTGAATACTTAGAGTGCAGCTCTAGGTCAGAGTGGAAGGTTAGATGTGAGGACAAGGTAAACTTGTGTCTGGAGAGGGAGCAAAGTCCTACAGGAGAATTCCCACTAGTAGAGACTGCAGGAAGACAAGTAATATTAAGACTGGGGAGTAGCTAAGTACATGGTATGTTTTTATATACTTCTATGTAGGAGGCAGTGACTAGTTGTCCTTGGTATGAGGCTATGTACTGAGTATACAATTTGTAAGTGAACACAGGTGAAAAACATAAGTTGTAGCGCATATCAATATGTACACATCGAATCAGTTAGTCGAGCGGTTATGGGAAGTACCAGGTGATCTGGGAAGTAAGTACTATGTGTCAATGGAGAAAGTATATACTTAAATGGGGAAAGGGGCTCCAGCGGAGTGGAAATGATGCAGAAGGTAACCAACAAGGCAGTCAAGTGGAACTGTAGGAGCATATATGGGAGCCAACTGGGTCGAGCGGAGGGTGGACAGAGCGGAGGTGGTAAGAAAGCAGGGAAAGTATGAGGTCAGGCAGAGCAGATATTAATATTGTTGGAGCAGTCAGATCAGGTATATGACATGTTCCCCCCACCATTTCTGCTCTTCCAACCCTCTCTGGTCCTTCAGTTCCCCTCATGTTGGCCTGCCCAACTGTCAGTCTGTCTGACTGGTCCACTTCTAGACTAGGAACCACTCAACTGGTCCTATCTCCTTTTGGTACTATAGTTTCTCCATTTGGATCACTGCTATTTCCTATACCTGAGTGATTATTGATCTGTCACATACATATTGTTCTCCAAGCCTCCTACTCATATGTCTCAGTCATCCTTCTTGTAATACTGTACACTCAGCACATAGCCTCCTGCTATGTCTACTGATCACTGTCTCATTACTTAGAGTATATAAACATATGTACTGTGTCTGTAGATACTCAGTCTAAACATTATCTTTTCTAAGCCCTGCTTTTTTATTCTTGTTCTTGGGCTTGCTCCTTGTCAACTCCTGTTTGTTGGCCTGTGTCATATCCCGTACCTCCGGATCCGGAATTCCGGATCTACTTCATTAAAGTCCGGTCCTCCGTCTTGCTATTCCGCCCGGTGCTCCGCCTTCATCTCCGCACTCACCCCTAACTCCTTTTAGATTAGCTATTGCTCCGGTTACCGGTTATGTCCTATTCCACTATGCTTACTGATCTGTCCATTCTTACTTCATTTCCGACTTCACTGCTTTGATCTGTTACACTTACTAATAGACTTTCCACATGCTTCGTACATAGCCCTTACCTTTGCTGACTGATTTACTTACATGATACCTACAGTATATAAACCCCTGTAATACTCTGGAACTCCTCATTTCGAATATCATCTTAGTTCTGCTCATTCCTGCAATCTCTGGACTTAAGTCTCACCTCTTGTCCACCTCTGAGTCTTAGGGGTTAAACCTTAGGACTAATCCTCCAGCTCTACCTTAGGGTAGTCCAACCTCTGTTCTGTTTCTACTCTGGATTTCTGTAGTAGCCTTACTCCATCCCCACATAGTCTTCCAGAGTTCTGCTGAACTCCACCGACTTCTGTCCTTCGGAATTCCCCAGACTTCTGTCGGACTTCCCCTCTGTCCCCCGGAAATTAAGGGCACGTACTCGAGTAAGGGGTGCAGTGCATGAGCTGAAGCTGAAGCCCTTTGAGTAACCTTCCCCTTGAGCACAACCTTAACAGCCTGGGGGATTGACTCCCTAGGTCAGCCACCTTTTCTGCTTGTCAAACTTCCTGCACGTTGGCCGACTTTCCCACCCTTTGGACTTGAGCCTAGAGCTTTAGTCATTCCATACCTCTGTTTCCTTTCTGCTTTGGACTTTGTCCAAGCAACCTTATACACTCCACTTCTCCTGTTAGGGCTAACCATACTAGTCCTCTGCTTCTCCCCTGTTGGGCAGTCCAACCCCTGCCTAAATTTTGGTGCTCATCTGGTAGTCCATTGGCCCTCCTTCAGAGAGCATCCACTCTGATGTCCTGTCGGAGTTCATATAACTTTTGTCAGACTACATCCAAAATTAGAGGCATGTACTTGGGTAAGCACAGTGCACAAGCTGAAGCCAAGCCCCTCAGACTCCACCTTACCCCTGAGCATGGTCTTAACACTTGTCTTCTGTAAGGTTGCAATATTCAGTGCAGTTCTCATCGTTAATGAGCTCTTGCAACACAGTCTTGCCTGTGGCCCCTAGTGGCCCCTTGGTGTGTTGTCAGTTTGTGTATGCTAAGGACAAAGACACTTTTACCCTTTTCCTTGTCTTTATGGCACTTCTTCCAGCAGAATGTGTTTCATGTGTTCAACTAATGTTGGTAGTGTAACATCCCGCAGCCCATGCATAAGTCATGCTGGACATGGTAGAAACTCTTATGATGAGAGGACACAATGGTCTTCACAGTCTCATTGAGCTCATTCCAAGCACTGTCAAGAGCCATCTTAAATTGATGGGATTTATCACAATGTTTAGCAGTAAGGGCAGCATGAGCCTCCTTCTGAGGGTCACCTTTGGATGAGGAGGGTTATGCTTGGACATGCCTGTGACTGTTTTTTGCCATGAAGGTGTGCAAAACTATCAGTGCAGCAAAGTTCATGCTGTTGGTGAACAGCTTTTATAAGTCAATGGCAAATACAATTTACAATACCAAAATGATCAATGGAATGCAAAAAAATTGGGTGATATATGAAAAAAAAACAAAAACAGATAAAACAGAAAAATTGTGTACAAGAAACTTAGACTGCCAATCACCCTGAGAATGTATGAAGTAGTGAGAGAGATGGCTGTGAATGACCACATAATCAGCAAACTAAAACACATTGAAGGCAACTGAAAAAAACCTTTTGACGAGCCTGCTGAAGGTCCATGAGGAGGGCTCTAGCTAGATTTGAAGCCTGTTCATATGTTAGATCCAATTTCAGAGATTGAAGCACTGCCTCCCAGCAGCTGCTACAAACAGATCTGATGAGTGTGTGAAGCCTGAGAAGTACTACATTGTCCATTTGAAACAATCCAGTATGGCATCTGTGTTTGGGCCAAATATTAAGGTTGTGCTCAAGGGGAGGAGAACTCAAAGGGCTTGGCTTCAGCTCATGCACTGCACCCCTTACCTGAGTACATGCCCTTAATTTCTGAGGGGTAGGAGAGAAATATGATGAAGTCTAGAGGTCAGATGCAAAGGGAGTTCAGCAGAACTCTGGAGGTTTAGGAGGAGCTAGAGTAAGACTACTACAGACAAGTCCAGAGTAGGAACAGAACAGAGGTAGACTACCCTAAGGGAGAGCTGGAGGTATAGTCTAAGGAATTGGTCCAAAGACTCAGAGTGGACAGGAGGTGAGACTCAAGTCTGGAGAAACAGGAATGAGCAGGATCTAAGATGATATTCAAACTGAGGAGGTGCGGAATGTTACAGGAGTTCATATACTGTAGGTATCAATTAAGTAATCAGTCAGCATAGTAAAAGGCTATGTACAAGGCATGTGGAAAGTCTATTAGTAAGTTTATAACAGATCAAAGAAATGGAGTCAGAAATGAATACAGAGAAATAGATCAGTAAGCAAGGCGGAAAGGAGTATGATCAGTAGCCAGAGAAAAGGAGGTAAGTGTAAGGTTAGGTTTAGACCTGGAGGTGAAACTGGAGCGCCAGATGGAAATCAAGACAGAAGTGCGGGTCTAACAAGTGAGGATCTGGTGTTTTAGGTCCAGAAACATGGGATATGACACCAAAGCTAATTAATGGTGGTGTAAAGGACACTGCTTCTTGCATCTCAAGTCCTGGACCTGTCGAACCCTTGGTGAAAAATATGTTACCATATCAACATTGTCAGATCTTGTTAGGTAGCATATTGGAATCCAAAAGTGCCATAGCTCTACCCTCCCAAACAGCAGAGAAGGACACTGTGTTGAACTTTGCATTGGCTTGAAGATTGTGCTGGAACTGCTGAGAAGGACACACAGAACAATGAATGCGGGAACCTGTGGTAGCCATAGGTGCCAGCAAGTGTGGGACCACAGATAGATTGACCTGACTTGCTGGGTCTTGCAAAAACATGAAAAAGCAAATCAATTTCAGGTTGCAAGAGAAAAGAAGGTGTTAACTTACAGTGTTGAGGAGGGACAACACTCTCAATGTGGCAGCACTCTGTGAAGTGCTGCAAATGCAGAATTGCAAACTCTTCACCAAAATGAAGAGAGAGAGAGAAGAAGTTGCTTGACAGGTCTCCTCCTGGCCATGAGGGTACCAAGTTTGTTGACACAATGTCATAGCTGCCATCATTGTGTGGTATCTCCCAGGTGCACTCACAGACACCACCCAGGTATTTCAGATCCCTCATGGCCCAATGGATCCAGAATACTACAGGAAGAAATTTGGAAGGCCTTGCAATTGCTGACTCCCACACTTGAAAAAAGTGTAAAAGTTCGGTGGTAGTTGGAGGACTAATCAAGAGTGGTTCAGTCAAGGCTCCTGGGAATAGTGACATTGCTGCCGGATGCATAAATATATCCCTGGCTTGGTTTCAACAGGGTCATGAGGTTAGATGCCATGACATGCTGATGTTCCTCAGTAGTTAAACTCACCAATCCTGTAGACTGTCTCAGACCCGGAGGTATCCACTTTATTGAAGGGTCCACACTCCGAGGATATCCTCAAGGCTATTGCGAGGCCAGCAGCTATTGCCTCAGCAGCACTCAGGGTCATGCATCCTCAACAGTACTGGGCAGGCATGCAAGCCTTTTTAAGCCTTGGTGAGTTGGCAGAAACCAAGAATCTTCCAAACATATCAGAGACTCTGAAACTCTGAGCCTCCATAATTAATATCTGCCTTCTTAGCTCATCAGTCTATACAATCTATAGTGTGATCAGCCCATCCATGTTTGCAATTGACAATTGCATCATCAGTCTATACAATCAACAGTTCCATCAGCCCATCAGTCTATGTAATGTACAAGTCCCATTGACCCATCCATCTATACAATCTATAATTCCATGAGCCCATCCATCTATACAATCAACAATTCCATGAGCCCATCTGTCTATACAATCAACAATTTCATTGGCCCATCTGTCTATATAATTGACAGTTCCATCAGCCCATTAGTCTACATCATTGAAATATCTTGGCCCTCCCATCTCTATCAAATCCCTTACACATAGTGGCAACATTGGCCCATCCATTACCATCGAGTATTATATACACATTGGCCCACCCATCAACATTGAGGATATTATGACATCGGCCCATGGTCTGCTGGCCCATTTGATACGGGATATTATGTACCTCGGTTGGCCTGTCTAAGATGGAGTGTTACACTGAATGGGCTCATGTGCCCAAGAGAGGAGGTGAGCTGCGAATCCCCCAAAAGAGTAGGAGTCCGCAACAATGCATCACAGCAAAGCCGCCAACACCCACCAAAGTGAGAGGAGGGACTCACAATATGAGGATGGGTTAACTGCTTCTGGGCATTGAAAGATGGATGAATTCTTCATGGAGGTTTGGGACGGCTTGCATGTATGGTGCGAGAATTTGTGTGTGTTTTCGCAGGTACAATTGAAAGGCATCGCTAGCCCATTGCCCTTTCGTTTTGACGACTTCAAAAGGAATGTTCCAGAGTAGGTACTCAAGTGTGGAGCCTATGCGGATGCCGTGCCCTTGCAATGGATCTAGACCTGCTGCTTGTGCTGCCTGGGCCAACCGGCCAATGAACTTCTGCTTTGTTAATGGGCAATAGCCTTTCTTGAACCAGTAAGCAAATAAAACACCTCTGAGAGGAGTCTCATTGACTTGCAGGTGCTGGAGGAGCGCTTGCTCCAGGTCTGACAGACTGTTCTGTTGGGTGAAGGACACATCCTCCCCTTCTCTGGCGGTCTTGGTGTGAGGTATGTGGAACACTCTCATTTTGAGATTGTTGCAATCTCGTTCAATTCGCATATCTGACAGTGTGACATGGATGCTGGGTTTGAAGGACAAAAGGGTGGGGACTGTAACTTCTCCAATGCGAGTGGTACAGTAGAATGCTGTTGTTAAGCAGCTGTATACTGCTGCATCCAGTGGTGCATTAAGGTCTAGCTTGTCGCAGGAGCGAGCAGATGAATTTGATGGTGTAGGGATGGTGTTTCTTGCACTTCAATGCGGTAGTGGCAAGGTTCTCTGATGCTTTCAGGAGAGCCTTGATCTGTACATCGTCGAGGGACCAGTCCGAACCATGCAGGATGTGCCATGCTCGAACCTCAAATACATAGTTTCTGATTGTCTTGCCAGAGTATGATCCTGCTATGAGGGCAATGAACATGGAAATGAGGGTTGATGATGCCGGTGCATGATCTTCTTCTGGGATTGAGCAGGAGTCACAGTATACAGTGGTATACCAGGAGTCCGGAACCATAGGACTTGTGGGTACTTTCAGCCCATGCATGGCACATCACATCTTGGATGCGCGATATGTCCTCTACCACAAGGGGGTTTGGCCTAGGTCTTTGAGTGAGAGGGGTCCAGAGGCAGAGATGTAGCTTGGCTGCGCAGTGTGGTTGGAGGGCAGAAGGAGTCAGGTTGAGGTCAGGAGGATAGGTATATTTCTGACATTTGGAGGAGTTCTTCTCCCTGTCGTTCGAGGACTCGGTTCTCGAGGGCACACTCGGCGTCTCAGAGCATGCCCCGTGTTTTTGCGGTTGCAAGAATTGCGATGGATGAGTGGGTACTCCTGTGCTCATTTGCATGTACAGGGGCATTGAAATTGATGACAAAGTCCCTGATAGAGGGAGGGATAAGAATCAGGGGCAAAAGAAGGGAGCACGGGAATATCTTCCACGTGACAGGTCATCTGCAGGGTTGAGAGTGCTAGGGACATGGCATGTGAGGACAATGCAGGAAGCAGATTGAGTGGCAGTGTGAATACATCTGAATACAGAGTTGGTGGGGTGGTTGCAACTGCGTCCCTTCCACCATCCTTCCACAACCCCTCTGTTATCTCCATAAACCTTGAAGCAAGGAATTGGGACAGATTGTGTTGCTTGGATGATGCTGAGGACCAGGAATTCAAATCCAATGCCTTCAGCCCACCTGATGTCTCACCTGTCGTTTTTCCACCCTGGTATGAGCCGCCAGGCTTGCCACCAGCCGTTAATCCAAATTGTGATTCCCACACCTGAGCTAGCATCAGAGAAGGCATTGGGGTCTGTGACCCTGCAGGGGCCTGGAATGGGCCTGCTGATGGTGGGTTGACGAAGGGATGCAGACCACCATCTGAGGTCGGTGGCACAGTTCTTAGGTGTGGTATGTGGCATGAGAGGACGGTCACCAAAAATGGAGAGCATGGCAGCACAGTTCTTAGGTGGGGTATGTGGCACAAGAGGATGGTCACCAAAAATGGAGAGCATGGCTTCCAATTCAGTGATGTAGGCTCTGCCTGCTGGGACAACGAGCAAGGCGTGCAACAGCTTTCCATGAAGTTTCTGGACTTCGAGAAGGATGTGGTGGGGTTGGGATTCCCATGCCCGAATGGTGTCCAAGTATTTCTTCTTTTTTCCTGTCCAGAATCTTGATCATGCACTCGTTGAGATTCCACGTGAACCCTGTAAACGGTGGGTTGGAACAGAACTCAATGTCTTTAGATACTTCCCAGGGATTACCTGTCTGGACAGAGATAGCACTGATGTCCTCCATGCAGCACGAGAATTTAGCATCTGCCACCAAGTGGGGTGACCTTTGGGAGAGATTGAGGATAGGATATGAGCAGTCCTCATCAAATTCTTCTGGTTGGTCATTGGGTAGGGTAGAACTGTGATACCATTTTTGACTGCCGTCAATGCGCATACCTCCGTGGTTGCATATGCTTCGAGCCCATATTTTGCGCTGCTCATTGTACTTTTGCAGGTGTTCCAGGAGGATGTGAAAGAAAAGGTGGTCATTGACCCATTTTGACAAAGGTCCAATCCCCTCACTGTGGAGTATGTCAGCTCCCGTGTCAGCAAGGCCTCCATAAGATCCAGCTGCTGAGGAGCAACCAAAACAGAAGCTGGTGTCAATAGCAAAGTGGTCTTTGCACGTGCGGACAACAAGTCTGGGATATTGGGATGGATGGAGGGGAATGGTTCAATATGCCTCTGCCATGTTGTGAGTTGCTCCTTGGGAGCCTGGAGGCAGACACTACACAAGCAAACAAATAGTCGAGAATGTACCGTAAGTGCAAGGGTATAAGTTTGAATCAATGGAGGAATTAATCAAGGCAATAGGGTGAATGAGAGACGATGAACTATGGGATAGATTCTGAATGAGATGGAACTTGCCAGGTTTGCCTGGCTTGGGAATGATGGACAGTGGTGCTGTCTGGAATGGTCCAATAAGTATTTCCACCTTGGCCTGTGAGAGAGGGCCCAGGTATCTTCCAGAGTTGAACTCTCATTCAAGGATTGTAGCAAAAGCATCAGCATGTTCATCAATGGATGGACTATTAGGTGGAGTACATGTATATGTAATGGGGGGAATGCTGCTGGTGAAACCAAAACATAATGAGTGGGGTATGTGCGGATATGTAAGTATGAGACCGGATTTATTAAGTAAAAGATTCCATGTGTCAGCGTGATACAGTGTGAGCGCACTAAATTTTATCCATGCTTCCACAGCTGGAGCACTCGTGTACTTGGTCTTTGCTGGAACTGGTGCATCTGTTGGGATGCTGCCAGTTGTAGCAGAGCTGTAGACCTTGGGCATTGACGAGGCAGCCCTCTGTGTTCCTTTGACAGGAAGTGGGGGTTTGGTTGTCCCATAGGAGCTCACTCTTGCATTTGTGAACGTTGTGGGCCAATCGGCCGAGACAGAGGGCACAAGCGTGGAGGCCAGCTGGTGCTGCACCATTCTGAAAAGACTGCTTGTCTTGCGTGGTTCGTTTGGACTCTTGGTGAGTGCGCTGGCAGTTGGGAGATGAAGCACAAGGTGGTAGGTGCCCAGAAGGGTTGCACGATGGTGACCATGAGTGAGAGCGAGTTGGGCGGGTTGTGTTTTAGGATGGGTTGTGATGGGATGAGTTTTGGGACTCTCAGGACCGCTGGCTCAATGATAGAGCTAGCTGGAGCTGGGAGGCAGAAGGTGGATTCAAGTTTTGGAATCGGGAGCGAGTGAAAGGGAGGTCAGCAGCAGTGGGGAAGCATGTGAGGGAGCGATGAACAGGGAGCAGGAGGCGGTAGCATCAGAGAAAGCGTAAATGGAAGCAGAAGCATAAGTGGAAGCAGTAGTGGTAGATTTGAAGGGTTGTGAAAGAAACAAAAGGTGGTCAGTATTTGGCAGCATTGTTTGATGGGAGTTAAACGAACCTCTGTCAAGCTCTCAAGGCAGGTTCTGTTCCAAACCTCTTCAGCCAGGCCCTTTAGCAGTGTGGAGTTGAAGATACCAATGTCGAATGCATTGTAGAGGGTCGAAGTATCATGCCAGTCCCAGTGGACATGAGCAGTGTACAGGAGTAAGGCTGGTTCGCCGAACAGCTCAGAGCGTTGTGGGTGTGAAATGATATTCATGAAAAACATGGTGAGGGCATGTTGATGTTTCTCTGGCCAGTTTAGCTTGTTGATGTACAGCAAGAAGCTGTTCTTTGCCATGTCGAACTGTCTCCATTCAAGGCTGTGGTCTTGGATTGCTTTGTGGGAGGGTTTGAAAGTGGCAACTGCCTTTAAAGCTATGAAATCATCGACTTTGGTGAACCCGAAGGTGCCATCCACTGTCAACTTGGCTTTGTCGGCCATGTGTTTGCAGCCATCTGGGCTGAAGTACCAGAGTTCAATGTATTCAAAGGACTTAGAGCCCATTCAGCAACTGGTGTTTGAGCAAAAACTTTGCTAAACCAAACATCATTGATCGGCATGGTGTACCAAGATTCAAGCTGAGTCTGAAATTAGTCAGTGAGCGATAACAGTGTGATAACACATACAATGATAACTCGATGATATCCAATAGCTATATGGATGCATGTAACCTTGTTGATCTACAGTGACTTGTAGTTCCACTCGTCCGACCATTGGAATGGACTTGCCCCCCCCAACCTCACCATGCTGCACTTCGCCAGCACATTATTCGTTATGTTGCACTTATCCTCAGTATTCTACTTACCACTACAGTGCATATCTTCCTGGACAATACTCCTGACCCCGAACCATATCACACCTCAGCCCTAACAGGGCAAGAGTGGGTGATAGAACTCATTGTTGGCCACCCCAATCGCATTTGTTGTGAACTTGGCGTTAATCTTCATGTCTTTGAGAAATTGATACAAGACCTTCACACCCCTGGTCACGGCAACTTGCGTTATGTCTCACTCAAAGAACAACTATCTATATTCCTATATACCTGTGTGACAGGATTGACTGTCAGGCATGTCACTGAATTATTCCAGCATTCAAATGCTACAATTTCCAAGTGTGTATTTTGATTTAACGCTAGTATATTTCTGATACTAATCCTCTTGTAGATACTTCCACAAGATGTTAGACATACTTTCCTCCCATCCTTTTTACACAAAATATGACCACCTTCCCACTGCTGATGCACCGGTCTCGAGTGCAATTCGCGACAACCCCAAATGTTGGCCGTACTTCCATGATGCTATTGGAGCGATTGATGGGAGCCATATAAATGAATTTCCTCCCTCAGCCACTCGCCATTTATACTATAACCACAAATGTTTTGTATCGCAAAACTGCCTCTTTGCTTGTAACTTCGACCTCAAGTTTATCTTTGTGCTAACCGGATGGGAAGGGTTGGTGACAGATGCACGGCTCTGGGATGTAGCCTGACATGATGGCTTGAATATTCCGCCTGGAAAACACCTTCTTGGGGACCTCGGTTTCCCCTTGACCCGACAACTTTTAGTTCCTTACCATGGTGTTCAGTACCATATAGCTGAGTGGGGTTGTGCTAGCGTCAGGTAAGACTTTTATTCTTATGTGGTGTAGCTCATCTAATAACACCATTTTTAGACCTGTTAATAAAGAGGAATTATTTAACCTTCGTCACACATCTGCTTGTAATGTCATCGAGCGTATTTTTGGCGTCATGAAGCAGCACTTTTGCATTCTCCTGGTATCTCCAGAGTACAAGATAACTATCCAGGCTTGTATTCCCGTGGCATTATGTGCCCTTCACAACTATATACACATTCATGACCCACAAGAAGAGCCTCTCCCTCACAGGGCCATCTTCAATGATAACCCTACCCATCAGGGACTACCTGGTGAAGCTATCCTTGATGATGCTGATGTGGATGCAATTCTTGATGATGATCTAGATGTGAATGTGTTTTGCGATCACATGGCAACAGAGATGTGGAACGATTACCAGGACATACTATATGAACATGATTTAGTAGATGTAGCTCACTCGTTAGATTTTGATGAAGATCTGGAGGACATTGAGGACATCCATGAGTATTATGGGAGCAAGGACAACAACGAGGACGACATTTAGAGGCACAGTAATTTGTAGTGTACATAGGGCTACAAACAAAGATGCACTGCATATTGAAGAGTGACTACTATGTAACGTGATGTGAGAAACAAAGATGCGAGAAATGAACAAGTAAAAACGACAATTTAAAACACACCAAATTCCCTGGCGGCAGCCTGAACAAGAACAGATCGCAAGTAGCAGACATGCTTCTCAGGCTTGGCAGCCAAGTAGATGCTGCATATTGACGGGCTCCTTGCAAACACATTCATGAGGGTGATCTGCTCATTGTCTGAAATGCCATCCTCTTCCTGCATGAAGTTCATCGCCTGCAGCCTTTCATCTGACACCCGAGTTTCATCTGTGTTGGACGCTGACGTGTGAAGGCTTTCAGTGAGGCAGTTGATGGAACCTTGCAGGTTCATGAAGATGGCAGTGCTGGCAGCATCCTTTGCAGCCTTAGAACTTTTGCGACTATTGGTGACATGACTGCTACTGCGTGTCGACAACTTCAGCTTTTTGTCAGCATGGGGTGAATCTTCAGGTGATGTCATACTTTGAGTGGCACTGGCAGACAAGACCATGTTGGAATGTGAGCATTTACCAGTACTAGAGGGTGCGACAGAAGAGGGGGGAGGGGGCATGTTCATAGAATGTCTAGCAACTCCAGGTGTGGCGGACAGAAGGGCTGACACAATATGGTCCCATCCAGCTTGTGGCACAACAGCAGCTTCAAGCCCAGAGGTGCTATGACTCTCTGATGCCTGTACAGCCAACGATGAGGATCCACTGGCCTCAGCATTGGTAGGAGCGGCTTCTGATGCCTGCGTGGCCAAGGAGGCTGGGTTGTAGGCAGCTGCCCCTTGAGCAGTACTCCTGTTTGGGAGAATATCCATCATCTTCGGCCAAGGTCTCCATCTGTTATTTTTGAAAGGTTTCAACATCTAAAATAAGAGGTGAGTAGCAGACGGAAATGTTAACACAAGCATACCTTGTTTGAAGCGCTAGCATCAATGAACCGCTTCCACATGAGTTCCACCGCTTCCCCCTGAATATTAGCACCCTTGATATTATCCCAGTGACATCCAGATCGACTTGTGTGAAATCTCTTGATGGTGGCTAGGATTTGCTTCAGCTGTAGGCATATTGATAATAAGTTAGCAGTGTAGCTAGGGGATATGATACAGAGACATACGGATCGCCATTTCCCCTTGCACTGCGCCATGTCCTTTGCTGCGCCTTGCTTCTTCAGTTTCTCATTATGTTCCGTAATTTTCTTTGCTGCCTCAGTGAAAGTCTCATCTTTAAAAGTTGTCCCAGCCATCTTGAAAGTCTGCAATTGAAGAAACTCCAGGAGAACATCAACCTCCTCATCACTCCACTGGGCTTTGGGTTTCTTGCTTTCCTTCTCGGTCATCAAGAAGAGTTGGATCTGAGTACAGAGCATAATAGCAGCTACAGCTGAGATGATCTGCCTTTGCTGATAAGGACTGATTTGACTTTTTACTGGGCAGGGAGCCATCATAATCATTGGGAGTAATAGAGTGATTGAAACTCCATTACAAACGGCTTCTGTGCCGCTCACATGCAATCCCATACATAAACACAAATTTTGCTCAAACACTGGTTGCTGAATGGGCTCTTAAGCTTGTGGATGGTGTATTGGGATGGACAATGAGTGAGGGTATCACTGACGGACATCCCTATCTTGAAGTCATTGATTTTTGGCTTCTTCTTCTGCGCGTCTCAACATTCATTCTCGGCTTCCTGCTCCGCCAGAAGACATTCTTGGTTGATGTGTTCTTGTTCAATGCAGGTAGCTTCTGCAGCTAACCAGGGTCCTTCGTTTACCTGGAGAGTCCAGGCTGCAAGGCAAATGTCTCTATCTTGTCACCATCCTGTAGCAAGTTCATTTGTGGCTTTGTCGTGAGTCACCTGAGTGTTTCCGATGATGTGATTCCTTATTCCTTCGAAAGTTATGGATGTGAAGTTAGGTTCAATGTCTATAGCCAGGTCTGATGCAATGTGTGCCATGTTGAATAGATGAGGGATATATGTTAAAGGTTCTTAAGAGGGATGTGTAGTTTATGCAAAGGAAGGGTGTAGGAGATTCTTAAGGGAGAGAAAGAAAGAAAGAAAGAAAGAAAGAAAGAAAGAAAAGAAAAGAGCTCAGTGACGGACTCGTTGATAACTTTACTAGTGGATGAGCAGAAGCAAGAGCTGACAGCTTTTTCTGCTTGTCCAAAGACCAAACTCTAAGACTATGCTTGTGCTTCGCTTCATCATAGAGTGACAACTAAGGGCGCAGCACAAGAGCTGAAGCCAAGCCCTGACCCCTCCGCTTCTCTGTCCAAGTATGGTACCTAACAAGCATAGAACATACTGTTCTTCGTAATCAGCAGAAAGTATCAGAAGAATGGGAAACAGTCAGCGCATGATCTTGTCATGACAATTATGTGAATAACTGGACTTCAAGTATTGCACAACCAGTTCCAAGAGTTTTGAGAACACCTCATGCCATATGACACACTTGAGGTTTACAAACCCCAGCTTGCCATCTTTGTCTGTGTCTTCAGATACCTACAACTATAATGAGTCATGTCAGAAGATTCAACCAGAGTGTTGACATATGGTGGGCAACCACTTGACAACACAGCTGCTGCCAATGCCCTCACCATGCCATATGCTAACCGGCAAATTCACATAATGGACCACGACAGGATATCCCTTTACTGTACCATGGGACGACAGTCTTGTCTCGTCCGCATACAGGATGAAGCAGAATGGAGCAGCTTTAAGACCATTGGGAAGGTGAAACTGATTTGTTTATGCTGAGTGAAAGTAGATAATGATATTAAACAAATGTCACATGCCTGGACATCTGTTAAGGTTGTGCTCAAGGGAAAGACTACTCAAAGGGCTTCAGCTTCAGCTCATGCACTGCACCCCTTACCTGAGTACGTGCCCTTAATTTACGAGGGGCAGAGGGGAAGTCCGACGGAAGTCCGGGGAGTTCCAGAGGACAGACGTCGGTGGAGTTCAGCGGAACTCCAGAAGACTATGTGGGGATGGAGCAAGGCTACTATGGACAAGTCCGAAGTAGAAACAGAACAGAGGTTGGACTACCCTAGGGTAGAGCCGGAGAATTAGTCCTAAGGTTTTACCCCTAAGACTCGGAGGTGGACAAGAGATGAGACTCAAGTCCGGAGATTGCAGGAATGAGCAGAACTAAGATGATATTCAAACTGAGGAGTTCTGGAGTATTACAGGAGCTTATATACTGTAGGTAACATGTAGGTAGATCAGTCAGCAAAGTAGGGGCTATGTACGAAGCATGTGGAAAGTCTATTGGTAAGTGTAACAGATCAAAGCAGTGAAGTTGGAAATGAAGTAAGAATGGATGGATCAGTAAGCATAGCGGAAAAGGACATAACCGGTAACCGGAACAGTAACTATTCTAAAAGGAGATAGGGGTGAGTATGGAGATGAAGGCGGAGCGCTGGGCGAAATAACAGGATGGAGAACCGGACTTTAGTGGAGAAGTTCCGGAGTTCTGGATCCAGAGGTATGGGATTTGACAACATCCCACCATTGATCACCTGTCCATGCCTCATTGTAAAAGCATTCAAACTCCCTGCCATTTTGCTTGAAAACATGTTGTGCATCCCAGATAAAATGTGGATTGAGTAGTGAATTGGCTAGTAAATCAAGGGCCCAGTCCCAGAGAGGCAGCATGTGGGTCTCATACACTTGTTGTTCTTTTTTATAAGGAACCATGATGTTGTGTTTTATAAACTATTTCACAAATATATCATACAAAATGTCAGATTTATTAGTAACATACCAGTGTCACTTGAGCAGTTGCATGTTCCCAAGCTTTGTGCAGATCATTATTGTTTGTAATAGTAATTCAGCTCCCCCTCTCAATATATGACTGTTGAGAGCAAGGAAGCCTATCAATCTGTGACTTATTGAGTGCGGCATTTAGTACAATCTCAGCAAACTCAAAGTCACCACAGGAACTGAAAGGGCACCAGGCCTCTTCATTCCATGGGAAGCTCTTCTTCAGGATGTGTTGATGCCAAACTCCTGAAAGGTTTGAAGGAGCGGTTCACAGTCAGTGGAAGGATGGTACTCCATTTTGAATTTAATGTGCCATTAAAGAGGAATTGTGGGTTGTGGTTCAACTTGCTGGCTGTTGGCTATACAAAAGAATCAGTCAGCAATATGGATAAGTATGGTACACGCTTACCTGGGCTGTTGGCACCCTTGAAGTTCCTGTCATAGTTCCCATCATAGGCTTTGAAATTGCCTGTGTCCAGGTTATCTGCTGGCAGCACAGGGTCAGCTAGTGATGGTTGGTGTTTGAGGTGCACACAGAAGAAGGGCATGTGAGACATACCTAGAGGATCATGATCTCCAATTGTTGGGGGAGCATTCTGAATCACAGTGACCAATCACAATGGGCCAGCTGCTAATAGGAGGAATTGTTATGCCTACGTCAATGTGAGCCTGCTGCTGAGCTAGACACCTCAATAATTGTCAAGGAAATCCACCAAGAGCAGATAGCAGAAGACTTACCTTTCCTTTGATCTTGTCATATTGAATGATGAACACTGCTTGTTCTGCCTCAGTGTCCTTACACTTCTTACAGCTCACTTCATGTTTCTTGAAGCCTTGTGTCTTGAATTTCTTGCTACAATGTGAGCATGAAAGCTGCTCAATCAGAGTTTCTTCTGAGAAATTGTATTTGGTTTTTTTTTTGGACAAGCAAGTCTATTATGTAGCAACTGACACTGTCTAGCCCTACATAACACTTATATTGGCATCAGTGGGATACTGGTCTGAGGGAAAATGCTCTTATGCACACTCTGAGATTGATGTCAGAGTAGTGTGGGACTCTGTACTTCCTGGTGACCCCAGTCTGCAGGGACCTGGGAAGCTTGATACCCACTGAAACCTCAAGGGAGGTGACCCAATTCTTCGGAGAAGGGAATGTGTGTGTGATTACTTTAGACCAAGTTCATTCTACTGTTCATGTTTGTTTTTCAAATTGTTTAGTTTGCATACTATTACTCAGTCTGTATTGAGTCTTTGGTTTATATTTCGTTGCTAGCACTTGGTGATGGAGTTTTCTGAGAGTGATAGGCCTCCTATGGTGCTTTCACATCTAGTGACCCAGATAAGGTGCACTGATTCCAATATCAGAATCCTCAGGAGGCGCAATGTGCCTTGTTTGTTTTGTGCTAACTTTCTGTCGTTAGGGTCATTTTCATTCCTTGTGTGGGGTATTTCTAGTGCCCCATATCCTAGGATGGTGCCAAGTGATATCACAGGCATAGACTTGCCCATAGGTAGCAAGTCCTCTGTTGGTTGCTCTTTAGCAACTGACACTAGACAATAGATATAGTACACTCATTAGTTTGCACAATACAATAGCAACTGACACTGGACTATAGTCCTATTCACTCTCATTAGCTCACTTGTGGCTTGGTTCTTTCAGTTATTCTAACACCTTGTAGGTGGGTCATCATTCCATCGATTACATACAGTTGCGGACAACCAAACACCACCAATTTGGTAGCTGTCCAGTGTGAATTTTTGGTGCCAAACCAAGGCCAGATCTGAATTCAGGGAGTGAAAATATGTCTAAAAACAATGGTCTGAAGTTTTTCCCATGAGGTTTTTGGCCCACCAAATTTTTGGACAGTTTGAAAGACATTGTGTACCCCTTTGGGGTGTCTGAGACACCATTTTCGGGGCCCTATATCACCAAGATCAAAAAATCATTCTAATTTAGCTATGTAGACTTTATTGGGTATGATTTTGCCCATTCGCGGCCCAACTGACAGAGGTTCAGGAGTATTTGAGGGACCATTCCAGGGATAATTACCTCAACACTTACCATTTTAAACGTTAGAACGGCTCAATATTTTTGTAATATTTCAATGGAATCACACACAGGACATCGAAAGGAAGCGATTGCCATATTTTTCGAGATTTTAGTGATTTATTTATGGTACCGCCAAAAATTTGCCCTAAAAATCCTCAAATGAGAGTTTTTGGACAATATTCTTGTGCAAATGCATTGCACTTGGTCCTCAATAAACATATTCTGCACCAAAAATGGGTTTCCAGTTATTTGTGGCACCAGGAAAAATCAGTCTTTGGCATCGTCCAAATTTGCTGACTTTGCCTGTCCACAACTGTACATATCTTGAGTCTGTGATGAATAATATTAGTGTGAAGGGGCTGATTGACTGTAGGCCAGCCAGGATCACAGTGATCTCGCTAATTTGATTTGATTGTGATTTTCCTGGTACTTGGATTGCTTTATTGTTTAGGTCATTTTGTCTGAACCATATGCTGCTCCTACAACATGCATCTTCTTTTCCATTGTTTTGGCAGGACCTGTTGGTGAATATCTGTTATTTGTGGTGATTGAGCACCTTATGGTGTGAGTTTTTTTGTTATGATGTTGATCACTCTATTGGACTCTGACTTCACCTGGGTGTCACCACCTATATTACTAATTAGTAATAGTACCATGTACCTGTTTCCATTACTAATTCATAAGGAATAGCTATGAACCCCCCTACCAGCAGTATTCTCAGCACATCAGCAGTGACTTGGGCAAGCTGAACAGCCTGCCCAAAATAGAATAAGTCCAACGTTGTCGTCACTCATCGGGAATTAATGCCAGCGGCCAAATTAGGCTTTCGGCACTGTCCACATTCCCACTCCATCATCACCAAACGTTATCTCACACCTTGCTCATCGTTTCCAATGATGAGCAAGCTATTTCGCCTCTCCTGCCATCGTTTTTTATCGGATCTTTGTCGGACCTTGTGCAGTAGACTTGGATAGAGATTCTGCGCCTATGCTTGTTGTTATCCCCGCTGTAGGACCACTCCTCGCTGTGCTCTTCAACATCAACAGTGAGTCCAATGTTTTTTCCTCTACCGCCATAGTTTCTCACCGGATCCTTGTCACATCCTGTGCAGTGGACAGGCATAGACACTCCTCACCTATCCTCATTGTTCTCACTGTTGTAGGACCAGTTCTCACTGCACTGCTCGACATCAACGGTGAGCTCAATGTTTTCGCTCTCCTGCCATTGTTTCTTACCGGATCCTTGTCACATCCTGTGCAGTGGACAGGCATAGACACTCCTCACCTATCCTTATCAGTTCTCGCCATTGTAGGACCAGCCCCCACTGCACCGCTCGATACCAACGGCGAGCTCAATGTTTTCAGCTCTCCCGCCATTGTTTCTCACCAGACCCTTATCGCATCTTGCGCATTGAACAGGGCATGTCATTTTCCAGCTATCTACGTTGTTCTCCTCACAGTAGGATTATCAACTACACACTCCCAACGCTCTCGCTTGCATCTCTTTAACTCCATTCATGTCACATGTGTTCTCCTGCTCGTTTTCCTGCTCATTGTCCTGCTCGTTGTCCTGCCCTTCATCTTCTGAGTCTGTGTCACAGACTGTTTGGGCACTCTTGGCACTGTTAATAGCATGTGGTTGTCTGGCTTTGCGGGGTTTGTAGATTTTTTCACCATTTGCTTGACGCTTGTGGTTGTTGCTGATGCGGTCTGACAACTCCTCATCAGTCAACACATCCCAGCGGCATTTGTTAGTGACTGATGCATCGAGCAGGATGATTAAACACTCTCGACAGCCAATTTTCCCAGGGTTGCAAATGTTCTTCTCATAAGTCCATCCGTTGATCAGTGACCGCATAAACCTCTATGATTTTCTTCTCATAGTTGTCAGTAGTTCATTAGCACCTTCCTTGATGTTAACTGGTGCTTTTGCAAGATGTTATCTGTATGACATATTAAGCTAATAGAAAGATACTATCATTGGTACGTACCCAACCCATCTTGAATGTTTTTTTCGGCACAAACTGACTAATTGCGACAACGGCAACCTGTTTGTGGCAGGTGCTGATGACTCTGAAAGTGTGATATCCATTCCTTGGCTCAGAAACAGAGACGATGCTGAATCAAGCTGCACTTACCGAAATCTCTGAATGCCCAAGACTCAAACTTGAGTGTGAGATGCTTGGGTTCAAAATGCAGTACATCTTTGATAAAGGACTTGGCCTTAGCGGTGATGAATATTTTCACTTCATGGTAATGTTCTAAATCTCCCCAAACAGCAATGTAGAAGCCTTCAACCAAGGTATGCGCATGTATCGCTAACCACTGCATGACACTCAACCATGTTGAACACAGTGACATTGTAAGTAGACTGACCTCTTTTTCCATGGTACTGAAGGTTGAGTTTACGTCCTTTATCAGTGCTTTTGGATTCGAACAAACAATGTTAACCCGCATTGCACGCAACTTGTCGATACCGAGCCTCAGTTTTTTTTTTCAGCCTCTGGCAAACGGCTATATTCAAGCCGAAGCTTGGTATGGTTTGCAGCAATGAATGCTGGGAGTCTGTACCATTCCCCAGGCCCACGAGCTGGAGAAGCAAATACATAGGTAATTGATACCTCGTGAGGTGTGGTACGTACTCTCATTGGCTTCATTGAGTTTTATGCTCACAAGAGCATTCCAGGAACTGGCCTTGCGCCATTGTCGAGTCAGATGACCTCCATTCAGTTGGGCTCGTGTCCATTTCAAAGACCTTTCGATAGTGAGATAGGTATGTTTGTTCTTTCTTTGTGTTATGGAATACTGACCTCCCATAGTCTTGAGATATGCCCTGTACTTCCTCCTGGTACGCGTCTCGCGCAGTCTCAATGGCATTTGTAAGATTGGCGAGCTTCTGACGCTGTTCTGCTTTCTGTGTGCTAGTGAGCTTTGCGCGTGTACATTTCTGAGTCCTGAGGACTGCCATGGTTTTTTCTATGTAGGAGGGGGGACTTGCTATCAATGGACAACTAAAACTTTTGCACTTATGAATTAATCAGAATATTTACGACCCTAAAATTACACTAGAAGATTTTAGTGGTTGACAGGATAATATAAAGTTATGGACACGTCAAATAACTGAGCTAACCCAAGCCCAGCTGCAATCAAAAATTTTAAGTTCCTATTAGTTTTGCACTTCGTCAATATGCACGAGGTGTCTGACACCATCAATAGTCACAAAGGACCTGCCTTGTACCCCTGCAATTTCTTGCAATACAGGTGTACCAGGTTCAGCATGGTACGGAGGAGGTGCACCATCAAATACTAGAAGTTATTGTGACTCAGATATCACAACATGACAGTAGGGCAACTGTAAAACATACCATCATTCATTTGAGTATTAGTGTGTGTCCCAGTATGAAGATCGAACATTGACACATCCTGAGGCAACCATGACACTGAGATCGCGCGTGCATCGGCACCTCCATTGCGGCACCTGTTGTCTTGTTTGGAATCCTGCTTGATGGAGATGAAGTGTTAAACAAAGTTATAAGGTCCAGTGGAATTTCTCACCTCTTCTGGTATTGACGAAGCAGTTTCCGTTTCTGTCTCTGATTCAACAATAACAATTGGCAAGCGCACTGAGGGACCTGGTCCTTGCCGATGATGAGGCACTGAGGAAGCTTGTGCAGGCCAATGAACAAGTGCTGATGGAAGTGGTGCTGGCTGAAAATGAGGCACTGAGGGAAGTGGCGCTGGCCGAAGACGAGGCACTGAGGGAAGTGACACTGGCAAACTTGGCAAACTTGGCAAACTTTGGATATCGAAATGGACTCGCTGGCGGGACCAGTCATGGTTACAGGACTGACTATGTCGCTTTGAGTGATTAGTGTCGAGAGAAGGGGCTGGCATGTGTAGCCAGTGTGGAACGACTGTGTGCTCTGAGTGTATGAATGGGCTGGTTAGGGCGTTGCTGATGTTGATCAGCATGATGGTTGCAGGAGGGAGTGGTAGGTACTGTCCTGGCACGACGGGTAGTGCTGCCGGTGTGTGATGGGCGTGCTGGTAACTCGATGCACAGCTACCGCGCTGGAACATGTTATTTTCCTCTAGCACGATTTCTGAGTCAATAACAGTTGCAATGAATGTTAAAACCACTCACCAACAACCCAGCCGCCAGTCTCTTGATTCAAATGAGGTAAAGTTGGGCTATTCCAGCCGCAGCTCAAAATTTTATTGTATGCTGTGACTGCTATTTGCTGGGTGAAAACTTCTTTGATAAGGCCAATCGCATTCTCAGTCTCAGCACCCAGGAGCCTCCCTTCATGTAGGTTCCTCGACCTTGACAATTTTAGGGCGATGGAGGGCCGGTGAAAAGTTCTTGACTGATGATCCCAGTGTGAGAGCGAGATTTGCGCCTCTATTTTGAGGGAGAATGACATCTAGAAAGAAAAGAATGAAGTGTTTTAGTTGGTGGAACATCAGGCAGTATTAATGAATACAGAACTCACAGTATCATCTTCTATAGCCTGCAAGATCAAGCCAATGAAGATCGGGCAACACTGAACAGTCGATAACGTCAAAGGTAGTAGCATGCGACATTGAAGAGAGATAAGGAGCAATGAGCTTGGATTGAAAACAGTAACCGAACGATGATAGCAGACTAATGAAATTGGCGCCTTAATGTAAATGATTAGTACAAGTCTGAAGTCATGCAACTGAGAAATCATACCGGAACACAAAGCACATAGACATCGAGGTCGGATGAGCAGCTGTGGCATGGTTGATGGAATTAGATATACAGATGCTTCAAAGTACTGCAATAGCTTTGAATGCATGGAAAACCGATTGTGTAGTATCAGCATGGTATAGTACCAGATTTGAAATTACCATGATCAATTGATTGAACTAGATTGAACATCCACCTGGCACCAAGTCCGAAGTCACTCACCAAAACTTGGAAGGTAAGTTATCTTCATTAAGAGCAACACCGAGTCACTCACAAAACCTTGGAAGGTAAGATTAAGAGTGACACAGAGTCACTCACAAAATCTCGCAAGGTAGGTTATCTTCATTACTAAGAGCAACACCAAGTCACTCACAAAAACTTGGAAGGTAATTATCTTTATCAAGAGTGACACCAAGTCACTCACAAAAACTTGGAAGGTAGTTTCTATTTATATATTCAGTCTCGAAATATATTCTAGATAATACAGGATTGTAAGCAGTCAACTTCATCACATAGATCATCATCCTTGTCAGCCTCAATGCTCCTTGCTCCCCTCAGATCTGCCATCATTTCAGCCGCATCCCCTTCAACAATCCTCTCCTTTTCCACCCATCTCAACCCTGAGTAACCAGGTAGTTCATAGATAGTGTCAATTCTACCACGATGCACATCATTGACCCGCTTGCGTTCTTTGTACGCACAGTGGATTTCATGTGAGAGTGCCGGGTCTGACTCCAGCAATGATTTGAAGGTAGACTGTAGGTGGGCATCTTCATCGTCAACCCAAGCAGCAAGTTGCCCCACCTCAATGTTGAGTCGCTGAATCTCTTCACGAGCACGTAAAATCTTGAAATAATTATTAGCAACCTCATGATTTACTTTTGAAGCTCAAGGCTTCTCGAGTAAATGATGGCGCGAGTGCTTCAAAAGGTCGAATTCACCCAGCCAAGCATAAGATGCAATATCGCTCAATTCCAGCATTTCACGCGGTGGTGTCTGCACAGGGGCAAGTCGGTTGTACCTTTCAAGCACTGTGCAGATAGCTGCTGACCGGCGACTGATAGCACTTGAAATGTGCTGGCGAAGTTTGTAACCTCCATAGTTTTGTTAGAACAGCATCAGGTGAATCAAAACAATGCATACCGGTACCTGCAATATTGGCCTTAGCCAACTCAAAGAGCCTTTGGACAACAAGGCCCTGCAATTGCTCAATTACCCGAATAAACTGTCAGTTAGTAAGATAGGCTAGGGCTTCCTTGTATTTTGGATCATCTGGCTGCCATCGTTCCATAATTGCCATGCGACGCTCAAGATCATCAACAGCGTTCATTTCAACAAGTAGCTTGCGATAAGCTGCATTCCATTCTGCCTCTCGAGCTCTGGCAAACACTTGTTGGTCCTTTTGTAGACCATGAGAAGGTGTGAAGTCCGCTGGCTTATACGTTAAAAATTGAACTGTTGTGATGCTACCATATGCAGCCCTGAAAAGAGGCACTTCAATACAAATTAAATTCTATCACACGTTACTCACTGGGCTCTCGTCAGCGATTCCAACGCCTCTACGTAAGCCATAGCCTCGATGTCTTCATCAGATTCTTCTGCCACGTTCTCCAAAAATTCTAGTTCTTCCGTGTTCCAGCGCTCAAAGTCAGCATCTGTAATCTTCAGCGCCAACTTGAGCTCTTCAACAGCGGGAGTAAGATCATCGATGATCGCAAGTGCTTGTTTATAATTATTGTACAAGAATTTACCTAAATTCAGTCAATCTCACTTCCTGAATATCGAGAACTTGAAATACCTTACTTAGCTCAAGATATCTATCAGCATCCCACTGCCAAAAATGCAGATCAATGAACTGGAGCCAATGAAAGTAAGAGGCATGGCGGATAACTGGAGCAACAGCGTTCGATCCTGAGAAGACACGCTCACACGTCTCAAGGTCCTTGAGACCAAGACCACTTCGGTACAGAGGGTGGAACCGAAGTTGACATCAGTGATTGTGAGCGTGGCCGTGAAATGAATTGACAACAAACTGATGTTGATGGGAGCATGCCTTAGCAGAGATTGAGCTAGCATTCACGGTTGCCTGATAGGAACAACCAATATCATATCCTGTTGCTCCATTTGGCCCATAAACGTCAAGAATCCTATTTGTTGTTGCAAGAGTGTATTTTGCACTGGAAAGAAATTAGACATCAAATTGTGAATAAAAGGCAGGGACTTACAGCTCCCCACTCCGCCGCACCTCAACAATGGTCTGGACCATACCGTGGCGACACACTTACGAATATGCCGGTTTGCTCGAAGACTTTAATGGTGTTGTCGGTAATCATATTTGCTGTCTTCCAATTATCGGTGCAAATGGACTCTGTAGCATCAGCCGGAGTAGGGTTTTCTGTGACTCTTCGGGTCCCTGGGCGGAGTCGAACATCATCCTTGAATCCATCAACTTTGGAAGCAGGAATCAAATATGACGATCTAAAGATGCGCTTGTCTGCATGCCCAGAACCATCAACCCGTTTGAGTGAGTTGTTACTGTCAATACTGTCCATCCTCCCAGGAAGTAGAATCAACTTGTTCTCTTGCTGTAGTCCATTTAATTATCTCCTACAATGCAACAATACACTATGTACCTTATAATCACACGCAGGGCACGCATGGAGCATGCACCAGTCAGGACTGTCTCGTTTCAATGCTATGTTCACCTTTTCTTGAACTTGCCGTAAAATGTCGAGATACACATCAAACACAATTGCAAATTGATCGCACAGAGATTGAAAGTAGGAGCGCTAAATCATAAAATCAGAATCACAATAAATTAAGGTACAAAACGAAATTACGTGCATTGTGAAGTGCACATGAAGCTTCCAGCGCAGGTAAGCAGCAACGAGATCTGGCATCTGCCTACTCCATGCAGCATGAAGTTCTCAGTTACGGCGCAGTCGACTGCGAGGCACCTGACATCGACGATGTTTGCCTTGAAAACTGCATGATCCATTAATTGTGATACCCCAATATTTTCAGAACTCACCAATTGATGACTTATGCACACGCAGCGCCAACCACAGGGCCCTCACATCCACCTACTGGGTGGCCTTCTGAATCCCCTTCATCTCCTTCCTCCTCATGCTCGTCCTCTGCCTCCATGTTGTCCTGGTCGCTATTGATGTCGAAATCTCCAAAATAGTGAGTGTCTGGATTTGTGATACCTGCTTCAAGTGTGGCCTCGGCAAGAAGTTGACGTGCAGTAGCATCAACCGCTATTTTTCGGTAAAATCAGTTTGATTTGAGACAGTACAACAACTTGCTCACCAATTCGACTCTGAACCTGCTCCCTCTCGTAAATGATGTGATCCGCTCATAACTTCGTAAGATTGGAGCACAAGGTCCTGAGATCACCGGTAGCTTGTACAACAGATTCCTTGACATGGCAAATAGTCAACAGTTTAGTGCACTTGCGACCCATGTTGATTGCTGGTCGTGAGAACGAGTAAACACTCACATTAACATTGTCCCAGAGAACCCCCTAAGGACCTCTGGCACCACTCTACCATGTCAACATCACATTAGAATATATCACACAGAACATGGTATTAACACTGTACATACCTGCGGATGATAGCATGAACATAAGATACCTCATATGTAGCATAAAAATGAAAAGTATTGCTTACTATTGCCAATGGGAGCATTTGTAGTGCAATGCACAGGTCAACACCAAGCAGAACGATGAGGAGTGGTCCTACAACGGCGAGAACGATAAGGACAGGTGAGGAGTGTCTATGCCTGTCCACTGCACAGGATGTGACAAGGATCCGGTGAGAAATAATGGCGGTAGAGGAAAAAACATTGGACTCACTGTTGATGTTGAAGAGCACAGCGAGGATTGGTCCTACAGCGGGGATAACAACAAGCATAGGCGCAGAATCTCTATCCAAGTCTACTGCACAAGGTCCGACAAAGATCCAATAAAAAATGATGGCAGGAGAGGCGAAATAGCTTGCTCATTGTTGGAAATGATGAGCAAGGTGTGAGATAATGTTTGGTGATGGTGGAGTGGGAATGTGGACAGTGCAGAAAGCCTAATTTGGCTGCCGGCATTAATTCCTGACGAGTGACAACAATGTTGGACTTATTCTATTTTGGGCAGGCTGTTCAGCTCACCCAAGTCACTGCTGATGTGCTGAGAATACTGCTGGTAGGGGGGTTCATAGCTATTCCTTATGAATTAGTAACGGAAACAGGTACACGGTACTATTACTAATTAGTAATATAGGTGGTGACACCCAGGTGCTGACTTAGCATGTGATGTGAATTCCTTACTTACTTAGGCAGTGTTTACACTTGTTTACATAGACTCTCCCATAGGTAGCACATCCTGTGTTGGTTGCTCTTCAGCAACTGATACTGGACTATAGTCCTGTTTACTCTCATTAGCTCACTTTTGGCTTGGTTCTCTCAGTTATTCTAACAATATCTGTATAGGTTGTTCATTAGTGATGTTTTGAGTGTTGGGGCGCTGGAGTTGCGGTGCTGGTGTTTGTGTAAGTCTGTCTTTGTTGGTGAATATTCTAAAGCATTCTATGATGTCAGTTTTCGCAGTTATCTTGGGGCTGAAGATTATTTCACCCCTTCTACTTGCTCTTGCATTTATGTTCTTTTCTTTGCAGTGGTGGGTTCAGGTTAGGTTGTTGTTTCTAATTGTTGTTGTGGGATTAAACTTAGGGAGCAGTTTTTGAAGTATTTCTTTTGCAATGGAGAGGCATCTGTGTGGGTTGTTGTAGCCATCATTCCTATGGCTTTTGCAGGGGTCACACATGCAGTTGCTTCTTGGTTGATGGGATGGGTTAGAGCTGGGTCTATCGCTGAAAGGACTGCTTGGACAAAGTCCAAAGCAGAATGGAAACAAGGAGGGCAGATTTACAAGAGCACTAAGCTCAAGTTCAAAGGGCGGGGAAGGCATGGGAAGTCCAACAGATGGAGAAGGCAGCTGACCTAGGGAGTCAATCCCCTAGGCTGGCAAACAGGAGTTAACAAGGATAATGCCCAAGTCCAGAGACAGAAGAGCAATGCTTAGAAAAGGTAATATTCCAACTGAGTATTCTACAGACAAAGTACCTACATTGATATAGTCTAAGTAAGGAGCATAGCATAGCAGGAGGCTATGTGCTGAGTGTACAGAATTACTAGAAGGATGACTCATACATACAAGAGGAGGCTTGGAGAACAATATGTTAGAATAACTGTGAGGACCAAGCCACAAGTGAGCTAATGAGAGTGAACAGGACTATAGTCCAGTGTCAGTTGCTAAAGAGCAACCAACACAGGACTTGCTACCTATGGGCAAGTCTATGTAAACAAGTGTAAACACTACCTAAGTAAGTAAGGAATTCACATCACATGCTAAGTCAGAGTCCAATAGACACATCAGGGTTATCAATATTTAGGAGAGGTTTTTATGTGGTACTAAATGAAAAGAAAATATTTAAAATTTAAACTAACATAAAGAGGGACATGTAACTTTAAATTTTGGCGGTGTTTTGTGTGTAATCCAAAATATCAAGTTTCTGCAGCCATATTCCCACCGACTACATGTCAACGATAATTAGAAATATAATCATATTTGATGTGTATGCTTAAATTTGAAGTTTAATTTTCGCATAACATGGTGGACAAAACTAGTAGTTTGGGATACGACCATTTGATTGCTAATATTTCAAGTTGTGTGCGCCATATAGACGTCTCTGGAAATTGAAAGTTTATACCCGTGACAAAATGTGATGACTAAACTTCAATCTTTGTCCACAGATTAAATAAATCACCTGCCCATCGCCCACCAATCGCCTGCCCAAGGCAGCCCAACTATAGACCCAGTATTGCCTGTATTCAAAAACAGCCCGCTTAAAGAGATGGGCAAAAGTAGGATTGTCCAAACAGCTCAATATTACCTCCTGGCTGATGCAGTTTTAGCTGAAAGCCCTCAGTGTGGTAGTAAAGGCTGATGGTGCTGAATGCCAGACAAGCAAAAAACCTGTGCATGTAGACCGTATCATTGAATGGAACAAGTGGATACTTCTGTAAGTTGTCCTTGATCCCATCTTGCCTGCAGGGATTGAGATGGACTTTAGGCCATGCAAACCATCTTCTCTAGTTCAGGTCAGCGTGTATGCCTGGATCCGATATTCTGTCACGAAGAAGTCCTCCGCACATTCAAGATATCCGTTGGACAATTACTGGATCACACTTTGAACGGGCCTCTGATCTCTGCACCATGAATCATCCCTGCCACCCTGTAGCACTATTCAATCTAGCTGTGGCAAAGTTTGTTAGTTGCCAAGTTAATGGAACATACTGTTAGTTGTGGTGATTGAGCACCTTATGGTGCGAGTTATTTGTGTTATGATGTTGCTTCCTCTATTGGACTCTCACTTAGCATGTGATGTGAATTCCTTACTTACTTAGGCAGTGTTTACACTTGTTTACATAGACTCGCCCATAGGTAGCAAGTCCTGTGTTGGTTGCTCTTCAGCAACTGACACTGGACTATAGGTATAGTACACTCATTAGTTTACACAACACAATAGCAACTGACACTGGACTATAGTCCTGTTCACTCTCATTAGCTCACTTGTGGCTTGGTTCACTTGGTTATTCTAACACATACCTCAACTTGGACATCCCCATCTCTCTTTTCCAACACACTTTTGACTTGCGTCCAGCTGCTCATCCGACTGATCACTCAGTTCCATCTTGCCATTGCCCTGCTGTTCGCTAACAATGAAACAAATACCTGACATTGTTTGTGATTGTTTTTCTTTATGTAAGCTATTGTTCAGTCACTCACTTTCATCTCCTATAGTGACTGGTTGGAAAATGATGACTCAGGCTTTGTGGCACCACCATATATCCCATATATTTTGTGTATCTTGACGCAGGCATGTCGGCTTCAAAGGATTCTTACTTTTCCTCTGGATGGCGGTGTATTTGAATGGAACAAGTTTCTCGAGCGCGAGTGAGTTTCACATATGTATTCAAGACATGCTGACTTGAGGTGTTCTATAGGCTTCCTAGTAACTTCTCAAGTCCTTCGAAAGATGCCACGAAATCCACTTGGTATGAAAAACTTGGACCCCAGTGGTATGTAATATCGGCCTTGATATGACAACCTTGCTGTGGCCACCAAGAAGACCCTTCCCCATATGGAAGCCACTGCCAGGCTGGGAGGTCCTTGTCCTTTTGGTCACTCTTCAGCTCGACAGGTTTCTT